AAGAGTTTCACCCTCAAAGGGTGTCCTCTTGTTCCAGTTTCTACCATCAACTCCTAGACCAGCAGCCTCCTGCTGCCCAGTTGCACTCCTCTCTGCACTGGGAGGGTAAGGTCAGCGCTGAGCATGGATGAACCCTGTGCCTGGCTGCAGGGCTGGCACGGCTGCTCCTGCACCACTTCTGGAAAGGAGATGAGTGGGTGATGTGGCTCCAACCCACGTAAAAGCTTGCAGCCCTGGAGATGACAGCAGGTAGCTCAGTGCAATGGAGAACACCAGTGAGCACAGCCCTTAGGTGAAAGGTTCAGGGAACTGGACTCAGGCAGACGCGCAGTGTTGCTGGTCTTCTCAAGGAAGGATTGGCCACAGAAAGACCAGACCCCACCAGGTAAACCTAAACCTGGGACTTGGCGCAGGCAGAGTTCACGGCCGACCTCATGCTGCGGGAGGCAGCTGGGTATCAACGGCCTGAAAACCCTGCTGCAGCAGCCAGGATGCTTCCCCGCCTGCAACACCTCACCTCTGCACCTCAGAGCCATCAGCAGTGGATTTTAACATCTCTTGGCACAAGCCAGCAGAAGCGAGTGGACACAAAGGAATGGCTGTGTTTGTACCTTTGTTCATCACTGCAGCCCGACAGGGAAGGAGCACAGCAGTCGCGTAAGCTCTGCTGCCCTTGCTGGGACAGCCACGCACAGACTTAGATTAAAATTAGACAAAAATAAATAAGCACAAAACCAGGTACCCCATGTAGAAGAGACAGTGACTCATGCAGCAGCCCCAAGCAGGAACTGTGTTATTATGACACTTGTTACAGAGAAAGGAGCGTGGCTGTAACACAGCGTCACAGAAACCTCATAACAAACCAGAGCAAAACACAGCAGTGTCAGAGGGTGGAGCTGGGTCTCCCGGCGAGTTTGAGAGGAGCAGGTGGAGCTGCAATGGCTTACAAGGATCACTAAAGCACACAAGACTCACAATGCCACTACACATCCAAAACTAAGCACCACGTGCCCCACTGCAGTACCTTTCCCTGTTTTATGGACTGAAAATTGCTTCCGTGTCAAAACATTCACAGAAGTGAAACATTTATTAGTGCAAATGCCACATTAGGAGGAACTGACACTACTATCTATAGCAGCAATAAACATAAAAAGAGCCTGACATTTAGCAGGAGACTACTAAAGACATTTCCAGGAGTCTTTAGTATAGCTGAGATTGTGAGCATTAATTTCCATAATGCCATGTTGTTGTCATCAGGGAATGCGCTAATGATCTCTTAATTCTCCATTTAGACTGATAATTGCTGATTAGTACCCTTGGGAATGGAGATCAACTGATTTATACCATCTTCCAGTCTGGCCCAGGGTTCTGAAGGTTGCACCTGGGATGAACATCCCTGTTCTGAACAAACCCATATTCCCAAAAATGATCGTTCTGAGATTCTCTTTTCTTATGGCTTACAAATTAAACTGCACGAAACAGGTAACAGAAAGCGGAGAAGGCAGTGGGTACGGCAGATTTCCCCTTATAAAATCTGGTACCTGTATTCCACTGTTCACCTAAAACAGCAGAAGGCAGAAGAACCCTTTCCAGGACAGAAACAGGCAAATCACAAAAGCATAACTCTATGTGTGTGTGTATATATACACACATCAACCATACAGCAGGAAAAGGTACGTACACGTGTGTGTACATACATGAAATTCCTTTAAAAAACAATTCTATAGGGCAACAGTTTTCAAGCAGTGCTCCCAGATTCCTGAAGGTGAAACTGCATTACTACTAAAGGGCCCATAAACATTCAAACAAAACGTGCTTCCTGCCAGCAGGCTTAAATCAGATTCACGCCTGTTAAAAACTGATTCTAGGCCTAAAAGGAAAATGTCTGCACACCCACTTTTTTAAGAAATTCCCGCCATGATAAGCTCTACTCTTCTGCTGATTCCTAAGGACTCTATTATACTGAACTCTCTGGCAAATGGCATTTATTTCTGTTCACTTTTAACCAGGGCTGTGTGCACTAATACGGACTTAACTCTGGATGTTATCTTAAATGGGAACATTAAAAGCCGCTCTTTGGGTAGGCTGGCTCCTATTGCTGTAGCATTTTCATACGGTTTCTTGTGTTTTGCTTACGATGGAATTTGGAGGCTCTATTGCGAGTTGCGGCTGCACAAACAGCACTGAGGCCAAACACGATGAGCTCTATCTGAACTTAAATCACTTCAGTATATCTTTTAGCTGTAATCTAAATTAATTACTTGAAAAATCAATTTATGGCTGTTTTATTATGCTTTTATGTAAACAAATACCTAGGGAGCTACAAATATGCATCCTGCTGGCTACGGAATGTGCCTACTTCTTGGAAGTAACTTCAGTATTCCCTCCCTTCCTGGCACAGATAGGAATGGTTTTGAAGAAACGTATTTTAATGAATAATAACTGCTTTCCCCTCCTCAATTTAGAATTTGGAGGTGGGCCTGAACATTTGCAGTAACGCTGCTTATTGTTTGCTGCACTGTCACTTTTCATCAGGGCTTGGAGAAGAAGACGCTGCTTCTAGCATTGCTCTGCTCTCTTGAAAAAGAGCAGTTAAAAATCAACATGTAAAACTGGTATTGAGGTGTTTGTTTGACGTTCTAGAGCTGCTTTCTGATAACGTGAACAAACTGTGCTGAAAAGGGACTCTCCCAAATGCACGTGTGTAGCTCTGCAGCGCTCCCCTGCCACCAGCCAGCCCGCCCGGGGCCAGGGCCAAACCCTGCGGGGACAACCCTTCCCACGCTGGGTGTGCCAGCTCTCTTGACACCAACCCTGCGGCTCCGCACGGGAGCTCAACACCAACCAGGTACGGTGAGGAATTAAAACATTAATTTCCATCCTGCACTCGCTCCCTTCACAGGCGTTAACCCCACGCACTGTTTTTATACGGCTTAGGCTAATCCACTCTGGTCATACCAATTTGGTAATTATAATTATTCAAACTGCATAAGGGATTCTTAGCTCAGAATAAAAACGTTCACACAGGAGGCTACTGCAGAAAAGGAAAAAAATTAGCAGCAGCTATTTGGGATTCGTCTCCCTGTATAAGCATGCCTTAAGGCTAAGAAAGAAAAATATTTGTGTTTTTCAAATACTCCAGATGCTTTAGCGCATCTCTGATACTTGGAGATCTGTTTCCTTAACAATGCCAGTTCCAGGAAGTGCAATGCACGGATCTCAGTTATGTGTGCCTTTTCAATATATGCTACAGCCACCCCCCACCTCTACAGTGTACCTCTGTACACTGCAATGATGTCTTGAAAACATAATAAATTCTGTCAACATGTAATGGTTGCCAGATCCTGGGACTCATCTTTCTGCTATCTAGTCCCTTCTCTTGAGGTCCCAGCTCCCACAGTGAAGGGATAGGAGACATTTCAGCTTTCATAGAAGTAAGGGAATAGTTACTGGTCCTAGAGCTCAGGAAAAAAAAACGAATACTGAACTGAAAATATATTTCTTTAGAAAATGTTTCATGATTCATTTGCATTTATTCCTTTTTGGACTCTTGATTCATTATTTCTGAATGATGAGAATATTGTCTGTATACAACACCTTTTCCCTTTTAAAAGCCGTGAAGAAACTGCAATTCAGGCTATAAACTCCTCTGGGAGAAACTGCCACCTTCCAAGGACGTACCGTGTGGTACTCAGTAAAAACTGTTCATCTCTCACCTGTGCCTTCATAATGGTATTCTACTGCTGTAAGAAAAGAGAACCTCCTCCTAGCGGGTGCTTGTATTTTAGCAAGAACAACAGGCACTCTTCACTGTTTGGCATAATTTTAAAGAGTACCAAGTTTCATTTACACCAACACGGTGAAATAAAGTTCAGCAGAAGAATTCTCCGTGGCTCCTTTTCTAACAGCTGTATTTCTTGGCATGTCCATCCCCATGACATAAAGTCCATGCGTAAATGGCTCAAATAAAACCTGCGTTCACACATGAAGTCTGTGTGACATGGACAAATCTGGACAGCTGCTGGATAACCTGCTGGCCCTTTTCATTTTAGTGCCTGTGATTCTGTCTGCCTGGCACATAAAACTGGCTGTAAGAGACTGTTTTCTGTCGAAACTCAAGAATTAGAGCTTTTCCATATCTGGTGTCCATAATTCTAAAAGAGCTCCTAAATATCAGGAAAACAAATGACTGACCATAAGCATGAATCACGCTTCTGAACAGTCACCTCTGAATAAAGACCATTCCAGATTATGCAAAGAAATTAAAGCTAAAGAGCCAAACTTTCCTGGTATGTAAAGGCCTGTGCAGAAATGAGATAACCACGTCCCTGTTGCCTGGCTGCAGCAGGCTCTCAGGAGACAACAACAGAGCCTCTGGAGGTGATAGGTGGTTAGAAGCTATTCATTAAGACCTGTTCATGCGTGTTTAAATCTTATTTATCTATCTGTCTCAAACTCAGGGAGGTCACAAAATCACTAACCAATCACTCCATGGTAAAGACCGCAGCAAAGAGCCTCTGTCAGTCATTCCTCAGAAAATATAAGGGTGTGGTGATACGGAAAAGCAATGTCACAACGAGGGACACGAAATGAGTTGCCTGTTATTTGACTGGACAGGATGCCTGGACTACTTCAAAATCTCATCCCATCCATAAAGACAGGGTCGCAATAAAGCTTTCAATGCTGATGATCAAAACTCAGAGGGAAACTGAGACAGGGAAAGTTCAAGACAGAAGAGAAATGAGATGAACAACCATATGAAGACTAGATTAGAAATAGATCCAGACTGGCCACAATCAAGTTAAGAACTGCCTTCATTCAGTACCACCTACTGAATCACTACACCCAGCAGACAAATTTAAAGCATCAAAAAAACTTGCATAGGTAACCAGTGTTAAAAACAACCCTGCTTCTTTTTATCCGAGTGGATATATATTGCATAGACAGAGACCCACAGCCACTTTTTCGAGGCTTTGTTCCCCTTTGCTGCCTTTCCACAACTAGTTCATAGAGGCGCTGCTCCTGCTGCGCCCCTGTGCGCCCAGTGCAAAGTCCACAGCCTGGTGCACGCTGTGGAAGAGGAGGTGGTCCTCCCCCTCTTTAAAGAATTCTCCTCGGCTCAGGGAGCTCCTCACCGAAGGATTGCACTGGGCCAGCAGCACCTGGACATCTATCTCCCTGTAGTCCTTGCAGACCTCCTTGAGCGTGCGTATTCCTGCCGTGTCCAGAAACTGCACTGCACAACAGTCAATCACTATTGTGTGAAAACCTAGGGGTTCAGAGACAAAACCCATGGAGATGCTGGCCTGGTTGCCATCAGAATCCACCTCTTTCTCTCTAAGCATTCTTTTCGCTGCCTTTTTCTTTGCTGCCTTCACCCAGACTGGGTTGACCCCGGTCTGCTTGTACAGGGTGGATTTAAAGCACTCTTTGTTGATGTAGTAGAGGGGTGCTTCGAAACGAAACACCACGATTCCCGGCTTGGTTTGCAAGTTCTTGTAAGCAGACAGGGATTCATACGTCTCAGACTCCGCCACCCAGCCAAGCAGCGGTGCCTCAGGTCTCTGAGTTCGGAAAATGACGCAGAGCATAGAGAAGCAAACACCGACCAAAAGACCGATCTCAGTACTGAGGAGTGCTGATGCTGCCATCGTAACCAGCCAGATCACCGTGTCCACTCTGCTCAAATGCCACATTTTTGGCAGGTCCTTGAACTTCCGCAGGGCTCCTCTGAGGTTTACAATGGTTATGACAGCAAGGACACATTTCTGAAGAGAATAAAATAAAGGCGCAATCACAAGGAGGACTAATAGGATTACCAAACTAGTCACAAAGCCAGACATTTGTGTCCTACAGCCTGTGGACTCTTTGACAAGAGTCTTGGCAAGAGCTGCGCTTGTTGTGAAGCAATGGAAGAAAGAGGGAATGATGTTGCAGAAGCCAATGGCATACATTTCCTGGTTAGCCTTCACAGAGTAACCATGCTTCTTGGCAAACATCTCCGAGAGGGAAACAGTGATGGCAAAGCCAATTATAGCTATGGGGATAGCATCCAAAGCCACGTTAGGAATCAGGTTCCAGTCTGGAGGGCGTGGTGGCAGAAACCCAGTTGGGATGTGTCCAGCAATGCTCGAGCCATAAGTCTCTCTCAGCTTCCCAAAGTGAGAGGCCAGAGTAGCTGCCACAATCACGACTAGTTCAACTGGTATTGGAGCCTTGAGCCTGGATTTAAAGTGTTCATTAAGCTCTTTGCCTGGGATAAGCACAAGAAAGCACAAGCAGCTGGTGATCAGATCACAGATGTTGGTCTTGCGTATATTTCTGAAGATGTTTATCCACGTGGCTATGAGGGAGCCGATGCCACTGCTCCGTGGAATGTCCAGTCCCAGGAGATACTTGGCTTGTGAGGTTAGGACGGTAAAGGAGGCACCTGTGACAAATCCACTCAGCAAGGAATCCGAGAGGTACACTGAGACAAAGCCCACTTGAAAGAAACCCATGGCCACCTGGAAGGAATCAACCACACACAACAGATTAGGATGCAAATTTTACAGATGGCTCTGGAGGGAGGCGGGATTAAGAATAAAACCACCATGCATGGCCCTGGAGGACAAGGTGTACTCTGAGCATGGAGAAAAGAGTCTCCAACATTCATCCACTCGTAGTGCACCACACTTAAAACACATTTCTAACAAGGAGCAGACTTATTTTGGGGCGGGGGGGGTCCTTCATACTCTGAACCTGTGTCTGCTCTTTGCTCATGGGTTCAGCTGTATCTCTGAGTTGGCCCAGCAGGCAAAGAAACCCAGGGGAAAAATAGCATTTGAAATACTGGATAATTTAGCCATTTCTCTCTCAGGTTCCTATAATCCGTGAACTTTGTGGAACCTTTTTGGTTGTCTTTGTCTGTCTTACACTGGAGCTCACAACCTGCAGTAAAAATATAGATTATGGCATAACAACCATCCTTTGCACTGTGTAAAGTTTGGTGCATCTGATTCAGAAAGTGTACGAGCTGCAAACTCCTGCAATGCAGATTATATAAACAAAGATAAATTTTTTTAAAGTGCCCTGTCATTCATTTTTACTAATGCTAGCTAAATGGATAAATCCCTGGTGTCCCTCTATGAGAATGACTGGTTTTATGGATACCTACCCTAGACATGCTTCTTCACACCTGGCAATTGTCCCTTCCTCCCCATCAACCTTCATGCCAAATGGGGCACGGACCCTCTCACAGCAGTTTGCAGGAGTCTTCTCATTCCCTGCACTGGCCAACAGGGATGTCTACACTGTTATCTGAAGACTGCAGACCAGGTATTAAACTTTAAGAAGTGTCAGTTTGATATATCCCATTAGGTAGTTAAGGCAAAATAAAGGTGGCTACGATCATGGCTGGAAACTTTAAAAGAACCGCAAAGCATCACTGAAGAGAAGGCATGTTTGTGACCTGGACTGACTGGACATCAGCTCAGAGCCAAGCTCCAAAAAAAGGCTCCTTCAGAGCCTTGGTAATTAAGTTAATTCAAGGCTTTTGCTACCACCCTGGGGGTCACTGTAAGAATAAAGGAATGTGAACTCACAATGAAATACCACAGCTCTGCAGTACTGTTAAAACTAAAGCCATTCTGGTTAATGCATGACACTCTAAAACAAAGATATCCCCTTTGATTTCAGCAAGCAGTGAGTTCTAGGAAGTAGAGACAGACTGGTAAAATATTGCTGAGTTATATATTTTAATATGGTAATAATTAAAAGTTTTATTTCACACGTATTTTATTACCTCAGTAGTGTCCTTTTCATACAACGGCATTGTTCTGGCTTTGAATGGGCAAGCAGGAAAGTTTTACAAGCACAGTGACAAATAAAAAGAAACTGGAGATACTTTTACTCTCCAGATTATTTTTTGACAAAAGAAAAGGCAAATGATTGAAGGCTGCAATTAAAAGCTGCCACACCACATTCTGGGCCAGTGAAACAGAGGTCTAAGCTATAAGCCAGCTAAAAAACAACTTCAGGCCACAGCAAGGAAGGTGGTGGGCAGATTGTGTGGGAGCAGCAAGCAGTTATATGCAGGTCCTTACAGTCCTCAACAGAGCAGAAATGCCCGCACAAAATGCTGCGGAAAAGAGGAGAGGACACAGAGGAGTTTCTTGCACCACAGTAACTGGAGACCTCCAGTCCCCCCTGTGCCTGGTCCCTTGGGACGCAGACTGAGGACACATGTAAGCTCAGCAGGCTTTTCAAGTGGACAATCGCCTAAAGAAGAATTAAAGCTATTCCCACAGAGCACCTGTTTGTCCACCTCCTCTTACCTGATAAACTCCAGCTATGAAGGTCAATGTGACTCCCACTGTAATTGCATAGCAGCTTTTATCACAGAGCAGCTTCTGCGATGTCTCATTCGCAGGCGAAAGGGTGGTGTTCACATTCACTGCTGTATCTGTGAGGACACTGAGTGCAGCTGGCTCCAAGTCATAGCCAGCTCTCTGGATTTCACGATCTACCACTTGTCCCACCATCAGGCAAATCACACCAAAGATGCCAACGGAGATGTGGCGGGAGGTTCCAAATATGAAATAAATAATGCTAGCGAAAAAGGATGTATAAAGGCCATAAACAGGCTCCTGTCCAGCCAAGAGAGAATATGCAATTGACTGTGGGACTAGTAAGACTCCCACAATCACACCAGACATGAAATCTCCCAATAGGTACTCTCTTAGTTTGTATCTAGGAAGCCATTGCAAGACAGGAAAGAAACTGAAAACATAGTCTTTAACTTTGGCTGGGGTACAGCTGCAAGTTTTCTTTGCTTGCTTAACCACCAGAGCCTTCACGCTCCTCTTCTTCTCTTGGGGCTCCAGGAACATCCTGTGATGGAAACCAGGTTTAGCACTGTCTCCTTCTGGCATTTCAGTCACTGAATGGACGTTGTTGAAATCTGCCATTGCTGCCATCTCAGGGACTCCCTAAAAACATGAAGAAGGATCATTTGCATTAAACCATAAATGAATGTGCTAATGAGACATTTTAATACAGTGAATACAGTATTTATGAAACAAGTGCTAAAAGTCTTAGTTCACAGAGAAAGTGATTTCCAAGCAAATTTGGAAAGAGCCTCATCATTATATCCCTATTATCCAAGGAATCACCTTCTGTAGGAGGTAAGCTGATATCCCATAGAACAAACCTGCCGCTGGCAATGTTGTGAAATGGAATAAGAATGCAGCAGAACCGTCTCTTTGGAAAGCTTCCTTGATAAAATCACTATCTGCAGCCTGTTCCACTGTGCAAAGATAAGAGTTTATTGTAGTCCTGTCACTTCAATTCAGTTGCTGAAAATTAACTACAATTAGTGTATTTCCAGCACTGCACAGCTTGGGCTATATCTCATTTTTATATATGTAATTTTAAAAGCATGCATTACACCTGCCAAATATTGTACAGGGTTTTTTTAACCTAAGAATATCCAGTCTTTATACAGAAGCTTTATTTCAGCCAACACCACACTGCAAAGGATGCTCTTCACACTTTTAAAAAGCTGGTCTTCAATTAAATCACATCTGACCAAAACAATACACACAAGCAGAAAACGTATCAATGGCACAATGTAAGGTAGGCAGAACATTTCTGCCAGAACACTTGTTCTAGTACAGGCTGCCTACAAATGGTAAAACAGGTGACGATAGCAAAGCACAATTAATACTGGAAACAGCTCCTGAATGTGGAAGAGCAAAGTCTTGATAAGACAAGCCCTAATGAAACTTGATGATACCAACAGCGACTGCCAGCATTCGTGAAGCACTCCTGGTTTCCAGAAAACATCAGAATCCTCCAGAAAGCCCTCTTTTAGCCACAACACCCACTCTACTAGAACACTGAAGTTGATATAGTTCAGGCAGAAACCCATTTGCCTGGTGCTACAGTGGAGCAAAGGCCAGAGACAGCAGCAGTACCCTGAAAAGTCTAAGTGCCAGGCTTCCCTTCCTAACACTGCCCAGCAGTCCCAGAGCACCAATAAACAACGTACTCCTTACGCGCTAATTACACCTTCTCTGTGCAGCACCAACATCAACCAAACTAATGTTCTGTGCAGTGTTTACAACTGAATTAATTACCAAATCAGCACTGGAGCTAGCCATGCTGAGACTGCTGAACAGTCCACCTGAAATTTTGTTCACTTAATCAACATTTCACAAGTAGCTTTAAACCACTGCTACTGTCACTTCAGCGTAAGCCTCTCAAAAACATGTGAGATAAGTGAGTTTAAGTGTGGTGCTCAAGCTACCCATTTAAGCTCATTTCAAGGCACTGACCCTAGAGCTGTGCAGAGGAAATGCCTTCTCTCAGACCTTGGTCCACGCCTCCATTCCAGGTTTGATGCTGTCACACAGAGGTATCCAAAGCGCCGTGTATCAGCTCTATATAATGGTTTACACACAGCCATGGTGCCAGCAGGCTGCGAGCTCAGAGATGAGCAACCTTTGGTTCTTCTGGTTAGAAAGGCAGTACCAATCCAAGTACCTACTGTCTTAAAACAGTCTAAGCAAATGATCCTAACCATATCAAAGACACCCACATGAGGGCAGAAACAGCTGCAATACTTAACATTTAGACTGGCTTCTCTTTCCAGATAAAAGTATTCGGAGATTTCTAGCATAGCCTTCCAATTAAAAAGCAACTCAACCTGAGTAATCCAACTCTTCCACCTTACTTGGTAACATACCTCTCAGTAAAGCTACCAGGCTGTAGCTCGCAGAGGGCCAGCTAAAGTCAGCGCTCAGGACAGATACCGATGGACAGCGAACAGAAAATAACGCAGGCAGAGGTTTGCATTTTATCCTCTGCTCCATGCTGGGACTCCCAAAAGGTGTTTTCATTCACTACCTGCCCAGAGACAGCAAGCATCTATTTGGTGGGTTGGCTCCTGTGTCCCTTCCAATAACCAAACACAGCTCGCTCCTTGCTAGCCTGCCACTGGACTGCTACTGAAAGGGAGCCCTGTTTCAGAGACCTCCTCACTCCAAAACTGTGAACAGCTCGATGGCATCAGCAGGGATGGATTTTCTGCATAAGACAGGGGATGTATGCCTTCTTGTTATGATATAAAGGCCTATACAATTCGTGTTCTATTACATGCCAGGGCAGACTGAACTGCATTGCCAAGTCTCACGGTCTGTGCGAGGTATTTTATTAATACCTACCTCTTGTTCTCCGTACCTACGATATTTCTAGAGACACATCAGTGCTTTTCTCCAGCTCCTGCCCCGTTCCATACTCCCATACCTCCAACTCTACGCCTAATTCATCTGAGCCCCACACGGGGTATGCAGGGTGGTCTGCAAACCAGAAAGATGAAAACAGCTCCAAACACAACAACTGGGGAGAACATGACTGTGGCTGCTGTGCTGAGCACAGGCACAGGAGCTGCTTAGGGAAAGTCATGCTCCAAAGAAAGGCAAAATGAAGCTTTAACGTACTGCTGGGTTAGGTGAGACCTAAGTGGAAAATTCCATAGTTTGAACTCAAGTCCTACTTTTGCTATCCATATCCTTCTTTCAGTCCTGGTCCTTGTAACTTGGAGAACCAAGAGTTCTGGATCCAAAGATGAGTCCACCCAGAAGTCTAACGCACACAGATTTTTAGGGCTAAACTTTCAAATGTATTTGTTTCTATATTTGTTCTTGTTAGACAAGTCAGTCACCTAGTACAACAGGAGGTAAGAGAAGAAAGCTCCAGTTTTACCTACCTGACTTCTGGATTATTCCAAACTTCTATCTTACAACCTCCTTGCCATGCAAAGTTACTCTATCACATACCTATATACACACCTTGCAATGATGAACTTCCCGTGGCTAATGCCTTCCAACTCAGTATCTTTAATGTGTTTTAAAATAATTATAGGCTCAGAAGAGCCATATGAAGAATTAGGACCTTTACAAGGAGGAAATGTGCATTGCAGTACGTGGTGTACGCAAGATCACATAGTGATCGTGCTTGGAGGAGAAGCCATCCCTACCTTCCAGATATCTAATCTCACCCACCTGTACAGTATTGCAAAGTCCACTTGGGGATTATTTACAGCACCTACCAGAAATAGAAAAACAAATACTACACAGTGAGAATGAAGTTAATATGGTGTACGAACACAAGTGTCTGCAGTAGCCTGCGTAAGCACATTCTGTATTTGTATTTGCTTAAGCAGTTTTATTCATTTCACAAGAACAGAGTTACAAATCAAAAAGCTTTTCACCCAAAGCTCAGCAAATCAATACTGTAAAAGCTCAGGGGAAAATTCACCCCGGACTACTTTATATGAGTAGGAAATTACTTGAATGAGTTTGTTATCTGAGATTTTAGTAAAGATTTTAGTAATGAAAATCCCTCTGACTCCTCTCTCTCTCATCCAGGACCTGTAGAGCAGCAGAGAGTCTCAAACCCGGGAGTTTTTCTTAACATGCCAGGGCACTCCAACAAAGAGCCCAGATAGTTCGGTTTAGTTTTGCGCTGTGTCATAAAACATCTGTACAGTACCTGGGTTTTTTCAGTCGTGTCTAGACAGCAATGTTCCAAGTAAAAATCTTTTTGGATGCTAAACTCCAAGCAAATACTGGATCTCTCTGTTGACCTACATGGCAGCTCTCTCTACGTGGCATGAAAAGGGCCTTTCATCACACCGTCGCTGCCTCTTGCAATGTCCGGGCACTAGGAAATGACACAATTTCCAACACCCATTTCACTCTTTTCTACCTGAAAGTGTCGCTTTGTATCATCTTTGTAACCATTTAACCCAAGCTTGCTTAGTAAAACTGGATTTTGTTCTTCAAGAAAAAAAAAAAGAAAACACCCTTTGGTTCAGAATACTGAGGGATACTCTGTATATTTAACTTGGAAAAGGAACTACTGTGCTTTTTATTTTGAAAGCTGCTATTTATGTACAACTAATATGTATGCACAGAATTCACTTTTATGGACTCCTCTTGGCCTAAGAGATATCTTCAGAGGGTGTCGGACTGCCACAAAGCTTTACTTAAGATACAAAGTAAAAGACTACAAAGCAGAACTGAGGAAATGTCCAGTATCTCTCTGTTATCAAGTGACGGCCATAAAATAAACGTATGGGCAGGTACAGCATTCTTGAGATCTGACGACTTTTACAGACTGTTTCTGGATACCGTCTGGGCGTTTCTTACTGGTCCCATGACATGGCAGAGGTGAGCTAGTGTCTGCCTGTCTTGGGGAATCACTGCCTGCAGCACAGGACCTCAGGCGCTTGGAACCTCATGTCACTGCTGCAGATCACAGTCATCTCAACAGTAAGAATAATGGATTGTGAAGCTCACTCACCTGCTGAAATAACATATTACAAGCTTAAACGTAAGCATTTAAAAGTAGAAACTAAATCAAAAGTGATCTTTGTGACACCAACCTCAGTTTTGCAGATCATTTCTCTAAATTTTACGTGCGCGAGTCGTCACTGTATGGGATCGCTACCCACCCTTGTGTACCAACTTGCTAGACTTAAGAAGTTTCATGGACTTAAATGCATCCACTTAAAAACTAATGCATAAACACAAAGAGACACAAAATTATTGAAAAAACGTGAAGAGACGTAAAGGCGACGCAGGTGAATAAGAAATCCAAGTTCCACATGGACTGAACCAGAACTGAGCTACTACCTCTGGATCCTTGGAAAAATCTCACCCTAAGAGTATAAGAGGAAAGCATATCACAACACTCCGGTAACTGAATCTTTGTCCTTACTCTTGTTGGACACCACCCTTTTCCAAATAATCTCATAACTGTTGTGGAGCAACAGGGAAATTCAATATTGCAACAATAAGCCCAAGATAGGCACTAGAACAGCACTGCATGTACCTTGGAAGAAAATTCAATTTCTGACAAAATCCTTAACATCCTCTAACAAAACATTCAAGCTACATGTATTTCATCAAGA